ATATAGGTGATATTTAGTATATAGCACATGACATGTAACATCCAATTCCAAAAAATATTTGATATTATAATAATATAAGTTTACAAATACCAATAGTTCTATTTTGTTTTATTTTTAGTTTTTCTAATTATTAGTAAAGGATTTTAAAGGTATTGGAATAATTAGAATAAAATATCAATTTATTATTTTATTGTTTTACTTTATATTATATGCATATAATTTCTGGAGAATCAATAAAATTATATGTACTATTTTAGACTTGTATTTCTATTTTATTTTATTTATATTAAAAAAACATGTATATAAGGAAGCACTTTTTCCTTTGAAAAATAACAGAGTTGTTTAGTTTCTCTCATATTTAATAAAGTTTTTCTTTATTAATTATAAATAAATGCCTTGTTTATAACTTCTTTAACATGAAATATTACATATTGAAAATAGAATGTTACAAATGAATTAAAAATTTATCTAATTTTGTTTTTAATTCTTCTGTTTATATATCCTATATTATTAATTTTTTTGTAATTTTTATATATTTTTGTTTTCAGATTCTTATATTTTTTTTGATAGTTTTCTTTTAGAAGTTTGTTTTTAGTAAAAAATTTAAAGAATATTTTATCCCTTAAAAGAATTTTGATAAAGATTGTGAAATGAGATTTCTGTGAGACTGAATCTTTAGAAGTGGTTTTAATTTTTATAAAGAGTTCTACTATCACTTTGGCTTTACTGTGGCAAATTATTAATTGTGATACTAGATCAATGATTGTATAATGTTTACTAGTGAAGGGTTCATTGTCATTTGTTGCTTGTGTGACAAGGAGGTTGTCTATTGGTTGACTGCTTTTCAAGAGAATTTCTAATATTCTGTTTTCTTTATTATTTGAAAGTGATGCTAATTACCAGTTTTCTGATAAGTTTTCTGTGAGTAAGAAGCTATGAAAATTTTCAAGATCTTTACTTAGACTTGAATTATTAATTGGCTAACCAACTTCAGCTTCATCTAGTAATTTTTTTATTTTAATTTGTTTTAGTATAAGGTCTTGTTGATTTGATTAAACAGGAGATACATTTTCTTGTAAATTGCCTAATTCTTTTTATACATGATGCCCAAATTCTATGAGAGCCGATTCTGCCAATAAGATTTGTGTGGTCCAAGGATTTCATTGATATGTTATTGTTTTAACAAGAACTAGTGAGTCTGATTGTAATTCCAGATTTGTTATGTTAATAATCTATAGTAATCACATGATAGAGATTATCCACTTGTATCGTATCATCTGATTGTATAGATTCTTGATGTTTGTTATTGTGTGATCTGTTGTATTAGTTATACTTGCACATTCTTGAACTGCAAGAAATGCATACATGTTACTGCTGATTTTTGCTAATTTGGGATTGCTTGTATTTTATAGATCAAAGGTAAAGGATAAACTGTTTGGAATTTTTTTTGGAATTTGAAATGATAGTTTTTTTTTTTCAGGATTTTTAGAAGAATTTTGTATAATAGTAATTGATTCTTTATTTTGAACAGATGTATTGAATAATGTGTGAGTTGATGTGTCTTGAATTCTTTCTATGCTGAATTTCTTATCACTTTTAATAATATTGATCTGATTTCAGGAGAGATGAAGTATATAGTTGAGATTGTTGTCTAGGACTTTTTTTACAATAGTCTTTCTTATGCTTAGGATAAGGTTATTCCTTTCTTAATATTAAAAGAAGTCATTAAAGTTGTTTTGGGTATTGCTTTTGTAATTATTGATAGTTATTGAAGCTATTGTATATAGTTAAAGAGAGTTGGAGTTACTTGTCACTTGTTTGAAACTAATAAAGACAATGTTCACTTGTGAAGAGTTATTGTTATTTAGTTTTTGTAGAGAAACAATTTAAAATTTAGAAAAGTTGATTAGAGGTGAAATAGAAATATTTTTAACTGGTTCAGTGATTTGGATAATATTTGAGTTACTTTTCTTATATACTACAGAAAAAAGATGTTTATTTGGATTTGCTACTATAATATTCAGGAAGATATAAGATAAGTTTGATAGTTTGCCTTTGGAAGAGAAGCCATTAAAGATGTTTGTTATTTTACTTCTCCTAATAATTTTGCCAGTTACTAAAAAGAAAATTTTTAAGTGATGTAAAATTTTTGAGAAAGAGTTTTTTTTTTTTTAATTCTTATTCTTTTTTTTATACTTTTTATATCTATTTATATTATTATTACTATTTTTAATTAATATATTATTGAACTATATTACTATAACTTATAAACTATTATATTAATAAATAAACTATTTAAGCTTATTATAATAATATAAAACTATTTGTTTGAATGTCACCATTGCTTTAATTAGTTATATAATGTAAAAGCTGTATTATTCTATTAATAATATATAATAAAGTTATTAATAATATAAAAAGTTTATTTTATAATTTTAAATTTTATTTGATTATTAAATTTTTTTGTATTAAATAAATCTATTTTAAATAAGTAGTATTTTCTATTGATGAAAAATTTTGTTAATAGCTCAGAAGATTTAATTTGAGTTAAAAAGTTTTTAAAAAACAAAATATTTTTTGAATTTTTAAATTTTAATATAAATTTAGTATTATTTTAAAAGAATTTAAAATAAAATATTTTTATTGAATTTGAATTTAATTATTTAAAATTTTGAAAAAATAAAATACAATGTTTTGATTATATTTTCTCTAAAAAGTTTTTTGTTTTTAATTAAAAAATTTATACAAAATGTTAAAAAGTTGATATTTGTTTTATATAGATAAGTTATATAAAAATTTAATTTAATATTAAACAGAATTTTATCTAAAGATAAAATTTATAAAACTTAATGTTTAAATACTTTATTTTTTTTAAATAGATAAATATTATTTCTTTATTTATTTATATATTACAATATATATATTTAGAAAAAAACAATATCTTTTATATGCCAGTTACATTGAATTAAATACTAACTTGCTTATAGTAAATATTTAACTTTATTAAAAAAAATTTAAACTAGTACCCTAATTAAATGATACTGAATAACTATAAATATTTAATTAGAATTATTTGAAAAAATAACATTATAAAAGTTAGAAATAAGATTAGAAATATATAATATAAAGTTAAAATTGGTTTGAATTGAAATTTATATAACTAATATAAAAATATCAATTATTATATTGTTAAGAGAAGAAGTTAAGCTAATATTATAATAAGGAGAAATATTAATTTTTAATACATTGATATTGTGATTATTGTGATTATTGTTTTTTTATTATTTAATGTTTTTAATATTTCATTTTATTTAATATCAGTGAATAGTGAAATATTTGATATACTGCAGTAGGATTTCTATATAAAATTATAAGTCAATGTAAGGATTTCAGTAGAATTCTGATTCAGTTGTAAATATTGATTTTTGAGAATATATTGATAGTAATTTTACAAATTAACTTTATTACTTATTGTATATTGAAGATTAAATAATTATTATTGTTGAATAAAGTATTAAATTGATTGAATCTATAATTTACTCGATTTTTTTCTTTACTTTAGAGCAGTTGAAGATGTGAAAGATATTTTTTAATTGAAAATTGTATTATAAACAGTATAGATCTTTATAGTATTCAGAATATAGATTATAAAAAAATTTTTATATAATAATAATACCTAAGAGTAATTTGATTTTAAAGGCTGCTATAGTTGTTAACTTTTATGTGTTTATTAGATAGGTTGATTATTTTAAGGCCAAAGATACTATAGGATTAATCAAATATCTTGAGTATAAATAAGCTTTCACAGATTATGTAATTTTTAAATATTTTAATATGTGCTAAACAAAATTTATTAATAACAAATTACATATTAACACAATAGTTATAAAAATTAGATGGGTATTAAAATTTTAACAAAAATTTTTATTTAGAAAAAAATAGTTAAATGTAATAATTCATTATGGAAAATAAGTTTACTTAGTACATAAAAGGTTGTTTTATTAATAAAGTAAAAAGTTTAATATATAACAACTATGTCTGATTAATGACAATAAGTCTTGAGTGATCCTTATATATACTGTATATTAATTCTATATATTTAAAGTTTGTAAATTTTATTAGATAAAAAATTTACATAATCATATTAAAAAAACATGCTGTAAATATTATAATAGGAAATTTTACTAATATAAAATAATTGGTATTAAAATAATAATTGATATTGAAAAAAGAAAAATTTTCAAAATTTTAATATTGAAATTACAAAATTATTTTTATTTCACGAAACATAAGTCAATTAATTACTATGATCAATGTGATGGTTATAAAGTAAAAAAGGATCTTTTTTTTTTTGAAAAATTTTGACTCACTCGGTACTGTATAAATATACGGTATCGTAGGTTGGATATTGTTATAAGTTGATTTTTTTTTAATTGAACTTTCTTCTATCCGCAAATAATAAAAAAAATTTGATATTCGACAAATAAATAATCATGGGAATATATTTTTATTAGCAAGAAAATATTTTTAAAAACTGTATGTGATATATGAAGTCATTTAAAAAATTCCAATTAGTCGTTAACAAACATCAATTTATAAATTTAACCTTTTCTTGCTGACATGACAGACTTTAATAGTGACTTGTACACTGGTGAGAAAATCGGTTTGTACGTATATCGAGTTTGGCAATAGGAGCCAAAAATATCTTTAATTTGGATCGGGATGTACTGTATACTGTATAACTTATCATAGATTACGTGAACTTCTGTCTATGCCCCAGGCACAATAAATTCAGTGTGATTGTAGAATACATTGTTTTTCTTTGAAAATAAATAAGCTTGCTAATATGTAATTCTAGCAGATGTAAAACATGAAGGTTCCAAAACAGAAAAAATTGAAGTTATTAATTGATAAATAAAAAAACATTGAATATTATACAAAATGCTAATACTACAAAATATGTTTTCCAGTCTAGAATAGGACCCGAACCCAAGAACCAATTATCCAATAGTTTTCGTACTATATTTTCTAGCTTGATAGTGACTATTACCATATTCATCGTGAACATAAGTAACATCAGAATTTTGTTCATCGACGTCACCGCTCATCATATTTCTACTGGGCTTTATAAAGCCAGTTTGTTCTTCATGTGACAATTCTTCCAACGACTTATCCTTTGTCTCGGGTATTAATCCAGTCGAAAATAACCCGATTAACATGAATACCGAAAATATTTGAATGAGATGGCCGACGAATTGATTTCTTCCATTGATATCTTTCATCTTGAGAAAACCGAATTGAGCTATTATCGCGCCAAGCTTTCCGCTGGCTGCAGATATCCCGTGTCCCGTGGAGCGGTATCGCGTGGGAAACACTTCGCCTGAATCGAGATAATAAGTCAATTACAAAAGGTATTGATAATAGTGCAGTGAGTTAGATCCAAGGAATGAAAATACCTACCTGGAACTATAAAAGTTGTCGCGTTTGGCCCAAAGTTTTGGAAAAACTAAATTTTAATTTCGAATATACAAGTTAACTCGAGTGACAAAGATGACACGCTTACATTGGTTAATGTTGTATGGATTACCTGACACATGGAAAATATTGTGATGAATAGAGTAAGACTGGTTTTTATGATATAATTATAAGCGGATCCCAAGATAAGAAATAGAACCGTTAGAACGCCAAATCCCATCATCTGGATGGGCTTCCGACCCCATTTATCGACGAAAATAACGGTGCACCAATACCCAGGCACAGTTCCCAACATGGTTATTAAAATATTGCCAACGGACATATTCCAAAGTGCAGAATACACGTCAGCGCCACCGGCAAACCCGATGGCTTCCAAAATGATCGAGTTGTTTAAGCCGATCCCATAAAATGCCACATCCAGCACGAACCAAGATATTGAGGTACCTAAAAGTATTTTTCCATTTTTCCATTGACTAAAATAATTTTTGAAGTCCTTCCAGGTTGCTCTGGGAGCTTCAAACACTTGAATTGGTCTGTCTTCCAACGTATTTTTTTTATCTCTCTTTCCATTCGCCAATGCGGTATCAACGTCAAAAGCTGCTTGTTCAATATTTCGTTCCACATCTATTGTGTATCTTGGGGTTTCCGGTATGGTTAACCGGAAGTAGAGGCCAATTGCACCGGGAACCGCGCCAAAACCCAAGACTATTCTCCACACGCAATCCACATATCTTGGATCTTCAAATATTTTATTCTTGTAAAAAACCAATACAACCAGGGACACTATGGCAGCACACAAGATGCCAAAGCCTTGCATTGCAAAAACGGCAGCTATCATGGCACCCCTTCTCTTTAAAGTAGCGAACTCGCTCGTTATTACTATTAAATGAATAGATTAATAAGAATCACAGCCTATAAGTCAAAAGTGGATCATCAAAATCTTACCAGCAGACAAAGGGTAATCCCCCCCGATGCCAATACCAAGAATGAACCTCCAAAATATTAGTGCGCCCCAGAGCGTCACCGCAAAAGTATTTGCACACAACGCGGAACCAATTGTCGCAAATACCATTATCGAAAGTTCCAATCCATAGATCTATATCAAACCTCAAAGTTAATTGAATAGATTCTGATCATGAACATGTTACGATAGTGGAAAAAAAATGCATACTTTTTTGCGACCATATTTATCTGCACACCAGCCAAATAAGAGTTGACCTAAGTTTCATTTAAAAAACGATTATTGGAGTTGGATCCGACAGAGAATTTTTTAAAAAGGGTCAAGTAGTTATCGAGCAATTTCTCACCTACAAGCGTTCCACATGCAGCCGATATTTTTAGGCCCGTGTCAATGTTCGGCGGAACTATATTATCATTCTTAGAAAAGTAGGTATATCCCAGCATGGTTGATACTAAATTTATTACGAACAGGTCGTACGCGTCGGTAAAGAACCCAATTCCCGATACAACACACGCACGAATGTGAAATGACGAAAAGTTGGCGTTGTCTACTTCCGAAAGTAATTGACGTCGCCTTTTGTCAAGACGAGAGATGCTCATGGGATCGTCGTAGAAATAAAAATCGTCATAATCGTCGATGTCGTCGTCAAAGTTATAATTTGAGGAATATTCTTTCGCATTCCCTCCGTCCATTATAGATTATATATATAAGATTGTAATATTAAATACGATTAATTTATTCTGAGAAAGAAAGGAGATGAAGTTTATTATGATAACTGGCAAATTAAATAATTAGAAATCCACTGCATGCAACGATTTTCAATTTTCATTGGTATAAAATATTTAAAAAATGAAGAGGTAGAAAGGATAAGGGAAAGACGTGAGGTATGATGCAAGATAAATGAGTATCAAGAGAAGAAATTTAGGTAAAGGGATTGAGAAGTGAACGTAAGAAAATTAAAGATTAATTTTTACATGTAATCGTGGATCTACGAGTGGAACTGGAAGAGAAAAGTGGATTGACAATTAATTAAATGAGATTTAATACGAGCGTCAGAGAAATAAACGTTACAAAAAATTCATTTGTTTTTTTTTGTTTTTTTTTTTTTCTTGACATGTGGAGTAATTATCTGGATCAAATTAATTTAATTCCAACACTAATAATAAGGTTTTCGTGGATGAGTCCGATATTCGTCCGACTTACATAGGTTGCTTGTGAAACGTGCAACGTTGGCGCACCGAATTTCCCTGACACGAAAATCTGTGATACGTGAAAAGTGAATAGGATTTTAAATTCTTGCATGACCTGAGAGTAAGATGGCATTACCAATACACCAATACCAATGGAATTTCTTTTTCGAAATTGCCCTCTCATGAAGCCAAATATATTCGATATTAGTGTTCGGAATATTTTGATCAATTATATGCAAAACTTCAAAAATCAAGGTATTGTGAGAGGTCTCGTGAGTATATTTTCACGTCATCGTTTTGAATTATAAATAATTTCCTAATTGAGGTTTAGAATTTTAAATTAATTCGTAAGACAATAAACAATGCGGCCCTACTTTAGCCCCCTAGGGGAAGGTAGAAATCTCGAAAAATTTGAACTTTTTGTGGACATCGTAATATTCCGAATGACATACCAACATCCATTTTGAATTTTCCTTAAAAATCCAAGTTCTTGTTTATTTCTTGGAACAAATCATCTTTTTTTTTTTCACGAAAATTAAATTGACTCAAACCAAGTTAAATGCGAGGTGGAAATCCCACAGCGAGACCAGTAGTGATATAGTTTTCGACCAATAGACATAATTAATTTGCACATGTATATAGGATTAATCGTTCCCCGAGAATCCGAAAAGATTATCATTGGTGAAACGTAATCATCGTACTCACAAGTAGAAACTTTAAGTCCATGCTTACTGTGTATACATTCTTTTGACTGTGAAGAATGGTTTTATTGTTATTCGATGCAAACATACAAGTGTCACGATCATTTTCGGTTTGGAATTCAACATGCACCTTTTTTTCAGGACCAATCATCTTCTATGAAATTTATTTCACTGCAAAACTGAAATAAAAGAAAAGGAAAAAAATAATGTTTTTGGAACGGTAAAACTTTAACTTGTCTCTGCGAGGCGAATCTGATACTGTACCTACACAAATAAGATTCAGCTGATCCCCCCTAAAATTTTTTTTAGATTACATATTCGATGTTACAGCATACATACGTAATGAATGCATGCAGATTTATCGATTTGATTTGCACGTACCCAAACAGGGATCGGGCATTACCTGACGTTAAGTGATGTCAATTATTGAAAAAAGTCCAGATTCATTTCAACTGGATCTTGCCGTGTAATAGTCTCATCAGTATACCTTCGTTGTTGATCCGGTGCCTCTTTCTTAACTCGAACATGCTAAAATAGTCAGTTACAAAAATCCAGTGCAGATTTTTTTATTATTGTATTGGATTTGATTTGTTATCCTTTTTAGGTTACCTGATCTTCACTCGACGAGGCAACGATTTCGATTAACTAGGGGAGTCGCCGTTAACTCCGAACCCTAATCATTGATGGAAGAAACGAAGTAGTGACAGACTCAACTAAAATAGAACTCGATTAAGATGGTCGACCAAACAAACAAATCAGGTACAGGACTATACTGTATATACAACTATAACTTGTAATTTTTTAGATCTTTCGCAAGATTTGGAGACCCTGATAATAAAAATTCATGGATTATGTAAATAATAATAATAATAATAATAATAATAATAATAAATTTTGAAATGTTCTAAAACAAATGATCGTAATATTAAAAATATACGACATGAAAAATTTTTTAAAAAAATTTCCAATTTTCGATTTATTTGAAAAAAATATTTATATTTTATTAAAATATACAGTAAATCAAAAATAAAAGTAAATAAATAAAACATAAACATTTACTGTATATGCAGTACGTTAAAGCTCCTTTTTTTATAAATCACTTTTCATAAATTATATTTTACAATCAAATTTTATCTTTTAAAAACCTTCAAATGTTCTATGCACATATCTTTAAAATATTTGTTTTTTAAAAAAATTATGCCTACTTTAATTTAACACATTATATTTATTTGGTAAAATTAAATAAAAATAGCAAACCAATTTCACAAAAAATACTGCATTATATCATTAATATTAAGATATAAAATACATGGTTATACATTATATATGAATTAAATATTTTTTGTAAAAAATCTTGCAATAAGAAAATGTGAAAACTATTTAAGTTTAATCAATATTTAAAAAAGTGTAGCCTAAAGAAGAAATCTCTAACAAGTATATTGCCTTTGCAATATCTATATGTGAAATGATTATAAACCCTAAAAATGATATAATTCAAATTAAAAAAAAATTTGATGAAACCTATATAGATCACAACTATATTGTTGAGATAATAAATAATTATGTGATTGGAAAATACAAAATAATAACAATCAAATAATTTCTTTATTATTCAAAAATACAGTTAGGCAACTAGAATAAATTACTTGGCAATATTTTTATAAAACAGTTATTAATAAATGTCATGAATACTTTTTACTTAAAAAATATATTAATTCAAAAAATATCTGTTGTAAAGTTTATAATTTAAATATAAACATTACAAAATCTTTAAAATTGATTGAAACCAAAATTTTTGATTGTATTATTAAAATAATAGAACCAGTATTTTTTATTATAATTCAATAAATAATGATTTAATTAAGATAAAACTTTAAATACAGTATATATATTTTATAATTTATTTAATAAAATATTAAAATTTCATTAATGCTTAATTATAATAAATTTATTTGAAAATATTGATTTAAAAAAAACATTATAAATTATATATATAATATATAAATGGAAATTAAAATTTTACAATAAAAAAATTTTTAAAAAATAATAATTGTTATATTATTTTTATTATAACTTTTATTTAACAAATTTATACATTGAAATAATTTTAATGATTTTTGTTATTCTATTTTATAATGTAACTAAAATTAATTATATTTAAAAAAATTTTTTAATTGAATTTTAGTAATTTATTTTAAAAACTTTATTAAGTAAACTTGTTTTTTATATTCATAAATACAGTATATTAATACAAATTTTTATCTTATTTTTAATAATTAGTTATTAAAATTTTACAAAAATAAAAATTAATATATTGTTTAATTATTTTTAATTCATACAGTATATATTTTATTTTTTTCTATAATCAAATAAGTATTTGTAAAGTTTATTTAATCTTATTATAAAATATATAAATATATTGTAATACTTGGATATTTATTTTAAATTTCTAAATATAATCTTAAAAATAAATAAAATTACTTATTTTAATATGTTTATCTTAAGGTATATTTTAAATTATTATTTGTGATTTATTACTATAGTTTGTCTTATTAAAATCTAATTATATTTTATATTTTTAATTAATTTTTTTCTTTAGTATTGTTTTAAAAAACTTTTTTAAGTTTTTCTATAAGTCTTTTTTTTTGTTACATAATAAATTGTTTTAATTAAATTTCTTTTACTAAAATATAAAAATAATAAAATATGTTTTTAAATAATATTTTTCTTGTTTCTATTAATAATTTTAATAATATATATGATTTTATTTTATTTTATTTTTTTTATTTTATTAATTTATATTTTAGAATTTTTTTTTTTTAAACAATTAGTGTATGCCTTGTTTTATTAAGTATAATAGGTTTAATAAATACAAGTTTGCTTTATACAAATTTATCATTATATTTAATTTAATAAAACTATTTAAGCTAAGATTATTCTAACTATCAATTGGCTTATTGTTCTTTAAACTTCTATATTATTAATATTGAAGCCTTAATAGTATAGATAGAATATCAATATGTCAAAATATGTGTCTTTTAGTCTTACCTATCATCTAATAAATAAAAACTTAAAAAATTATATCTCAATATAATTAGCTATAAAGCTAATTACAGTATATTCACTAGAAAAATCTATTGACTTTAATTAGATCTAAAAAAAAAAAGTTTTTTTTGGAAAAAAACAAATAAGAAAAATTAAAGGAAAGTTTAAGAATAAAATTACGAACCATTTATTTAAAAGAAAATCAAGACTAACTTCTTATGAAAATTTAAAATAATAATATCATGGAAAAAAACTTGTTGAATTAAAAAACCTGTATATACTATTGTTATATTTTATATACTGTATATATATAATTGTCTATATCTTTTACATTTTCTTGCAGATTTTTGTCCTATCTGAAAAATTTCTAATTAAAATTAGTTATTTGTTTTCAGATTTGAGTAGAATATCACTATTACTATCTATTATAGTCATATGAAGTTTAATTACAAAATATTTAATTACTAAATCTAAATACTGTACTATAAACAGATATTGTAAAAAAGATATAAAGAATATTGAGATCATTTGTTCTTATTAATATTATGTGTTCCAGTTGTATTGTTGTAAATATTAGTATATATCTTATAATTGTATAAGAAATATTATTCAATTTTTTGAGTCATTAAAAAGCAAGACAAGACCTCAATAACACTATTTACTTTGTTATTAAAGATACTTGTTTGAGAATAAAGGAAGTTGTTTTAACTTTATAACTTTTTTGCCAATAAAAGCTTATCTCCAGAGAAAGTACAA